ATGTTGCTGGGGCAAGAAGGTTGCCCAAGACCAGCACAAGGGTTAATATCAAAGTGCTGCAATAAATGCACTGTCAATTTAATCTGCTTTTTACAAAGCCGATTTGTCTGCCTTTTCAAGATATTCACCACTGGAGTCTTGAGCATGAGTTGAAGGAGGGGGCAGAGAGAGGCAGAGTGTGTGAGCAGGGTTTAATGGGGCAAAGTGAAGGGCCATGAACAGGCAGCTCTCCCTTGTTAACCCTAGAGAGAAATTCTGGCTTCAAATGCCTAAAGCAGGCTACAATGGGATGGAAATGTTTCTGCCCTGGTTATTGTCATCCTGGGTTTGGGTCCTAAATGTTTACCTCTCTGTCCAGAGCCTCTCTGTTCAGCCTCTGTGACAGTGCAGGTGCTGATGGACAAACAGAGAATTTCCAGATGCTGCTGGAATCCCAAGATAGCACAGCCCTCCCTGACCTCCTGAGCTGGGCAGTGGGCAGAGACAGCCCAGCCCTCTGTCCACTGCCCCTCCCTGCCCTCCATCACACCTCCTTGGCTTCCAGCAATGCTGTGTCTCACACAGAAGCACTGCCTTCAAACACACGGAGGAAACCCAAACTGGCAGCACTGCCCTCAAGGTGTCCAGCTGCAAAACCTGGTTGCTGCTCCTCGCCTCCTCCTGCTCTCCATTCACCGCTGCAGGGTGAGGTCTATCAGTGGTAGCTCCCATTGCCACACAAGGTGCCCCTTGGTAGGCATTTGCAGATTCTCTCATGTCCTTCCATCTCTTCTGAAGCCCTCCCCCATCAGTCCTGCTCTCACACAAGCCTGTGCTCTGGGTCACAGTGGTTTGCACCCAGAAACTACATTATAAACCAAGATTTTGGGGCTGCCCCATCATGCGGGCTAGATCCAGACAAGCCACCAGTGCAGGAACCTGAACGTGAGCTCTGCAGTGGAAAATGAGTAACCAGAGCTAACACGGTGATACTATCTCTGAGAATAATCACACTCTGAGCTCCTACCATGTTGTTTATAAAGGCAGAGCAGGCAGCAATCCAGGCACAGCCACGTGGGAACAGTGCAGGAATGAGCACATAAGGCTCCTCACTTGCACAGACAGGACATAAAACAGAGACAGGGAATTTATTCCACCCTATACTGGGCTGGACTGGGGCTTCTCCACTCTGCTCAGTGGATTAGCAGCCACTAACAATACCTGTCACAACAGCTGTCCGTTTCATTTCCAAAAACTTGATTCTGTTTGTAATTTCTCATACCTGCTAATCTCTCCTGGACGTCTTCTGGAACACAGGTTGTGCTGAGCCACGCGCCATAGGCTCACACAGCTGGCTGCCTGGCTACCTGCTGCAGCAAGGCTAAGGCAATGAGCAGGGTTTGGGAGTCTCAGCTACAGGGCTTCTGCCTACGGGAACAAAAAGCAACAGGCATTTTAGAGACATGCTGGACTGAGCTGGTAAATCAACGTGGCACTGCCAAGGGCTACAACCGCTTGTCTGTGATGCTCTAAAAACCTTTCAAAGTTACTTCTGCCATCTCACACAAGCTTCCAGAGTCCCTGTCCTCTCCTCCTTCCCAGTGTAAAACTCCAATGACTCTTTTAAGCAGCAAGGTAGCGTGCAGAAGCAACCCTACAGAAATAAGCCCTTGCACCCCAGCAACCACAGGCCACTTTGAGGGAAGAATGCAGGCTGCAAACACAAGGGAGGGGATTATGAAGCAGCTGCTGCAAAGAATGAGGCTTCTGTTTCCAGCAGCAAAAGGTTTCCTTGGCATAAAAATAAGCCCTGAGGCCACGTCTGATAAAAATTTCCTTCACTCCTGAGCCCTCCCTCTGCTGATGCATCACCATTTCCACACTCCATCCCTTAGAGGCTGCTCCTCAGCCACCAACACCAGGTGATGGGGACATGACAGCAGCACTGACACCATTAGGCTGCGTGCTTTCCAACAGCACAAACACGTGCTGTAACGTAGGGCACAGACCTCAACTTCTTATGGCAGCCTGGAGCATCACAGCCTCCATGTGCTACTCATGAAAAGAACATGAAGAACTGCTTTGCAATGCATTTCTCCTATTTTTCCCCTTTCCCCTCAGCTCCAAATGAATGCATTTGGCTGGAGTGAGAAAAGGGGGAGGAGGACACTGGGAGTTATGCACTTATTGCAGCCCTTTTTAACATCGCATTTTCCTCCCCTTACAACCTGGCCCTGGCTGGTTTCCCAAGCAAGAACAGAGAGCCGGAGGTCCATCCATCTCTATTTAAATGCCTTTTGTACTGAACTGAGTAACTGTACCTCTATTTTACTCCGAGGCTAAAGGTGACTAACTTAAAGGTGATTATCTTTTGTTAATAGCCTGCATTAGTGAGCGAGATCTCTGAATTACCTTTGTAATCCTTCCCCACACTTTAATGTTGCTATTATTATTAATATTGCTCTTTAAAACACACTTCTCTCCTGCCACATAGAGGCAGTGGCTGCTGGTTCTCACAGTGATGGTGGAAATGTTCCTTCCATGACCACTGGGGAAGATCCTGGAGCATCATGCACAGCTCTCTGTGCAAGCACTGTCATGAAGGAGGCATTTGTTTAACCCAGCTCATGACGGATGAAGACTCAATAGAGACAGCACAGATTCTATACTGTCCTTCACCATTTTTCACTATTTAGACAAAACATTTTACCTTCTAAACAAACCCATCCTCAGCCCTCCATCCCACTGCAGGCCCCAGGGCTCAGTGGCAGGGCTCCTGAAATATCCCATCAGGAAATCCCTGCAAAGCATAAAGAATTGTCTTATATTTTTCATGGCCTCGATTTTCTGCTGTTTCTGCTCTAACAAATGACGTTTGTCAAGCTTTCCTTGCATTGTCTGCTCAGCACTGCCCTACTGAGGGCTCCATGCCAGGGAGATCACCCCTACCCACTGAGCTCCTCTTCCCCACAAGGACACCTTCTTGTACCCATATTTCCATAAGCAAAACAAGACTGATTTGAATAATGCTAACAAGTCACCAGGATAATGCAGCAACAGAATTAACATGCATTCATCTGCTCTAGCTAAAATACACTTCACGCAAATGTACCTGCTTCATGTTGCTTCCAACATCTCTGCCTGTTCTTTCTTCTGTTTCTCCTGTGTTTATATTACTTTTTTTGCCATCTCTGATGCAGAGGAAACGAACTAAATGTTTGGAGGGAAGTGTATAATTTGGTTCAAGATGGGCTAGCATTTTCTAACATCATTAGCATTGTACTCAGGTATGAAATGTGCAATTTTACCAGCATATTCAAGGTAAAAGTCTTGCTATTAAAGATAAAATGTTATGAACTTTTAACGCTAACTATTATTATTGAACAGCTAAAAGTCCAGAGGTAGAGAGAAGAAATACATTTCCCATACTGAATTTTAAGCTGTAGAGGTAGATAAACAAGTGACATATTTTTTCCACATAAAATATACATTAGAATACTATTATCAAGCTTAAAACATCGAGCATTGAGATGTAAGGAAGCAGCCGTGCCACCTCATCATCACACACTACTTTCCAGCTGTGTTTGACACCTTTTGTGACCCCAGAAGTTAACAAAAGGGCAACGGAGCTGTGCAGGGTCTGGAGCACAAGTCTTATGGGGAGAAGCTGAGGGATGGGATGGGTCAGTTTGGAGAGAAGGAGGCTCAGGGGAGAGCTCACTGCCCTCTACAACTCCCTGACAGGAGGTGGTGATGAGGTGGGGGTCAGCCTCTGCTTCCAGGTAACAGTGATGGGATGAGAGGTGATAGGATGAGAGGTGATGGCCTCAAGCTGCACTAGGAAAGGGCCAGTTTGGATATGAGGAACAATTTCTTCTCAAAAAGAGTGGTGATGCACCGGCACAGGCTGCCTGGGGTTGTATGGAGTCACCATCCCTGGAGGTATACAAGAAAAGGGTAAATGTTGCACTGAGTGACATGGTTTAGCTGCACGGTGGTGAGGGATTGATGGTTGGGCCTTAGTGATCTTTTCAACCTTAATGATTGTATGATTCTATGATTCCAGAGCCTGTTTTTCCACTTGCAGGCAGCCAGCTTGCACCAGCCCATCTCTTTTTTACTGGAATTAGTCTAAATTGCTGTGCTGTGCAAGGTGAGCACATTCTGTTGTGTCAAAGACATCAAAATAACACATTTCAAGCCACACCTTCCCACTTGCATCAGACTGAGTGCTACACCACGACGGTCAAGAGAACTGAGCCAAGAAGCATCACCAACCAACCCCCATGGCAAACCCCTCCAACCAATCCCTTTCCCACACTGTGCAGTTTAATTAAACTCATTAAATCACAGTGAGAGCTGGCCCCGCTCCCACCAGGTCGAGCAGAGCAGCACAGGCCCAGACCCAGAAACATGGAGATGTGGTACTGAGGGATGCAGTTAGTGGGCAGTATTGGTGGTGTATATCTACGTACACACAGGTGAATGGTTGGACTAGATGATCTTAGAGGTCTTTTCCAACCTTAACCATTCTATGATTCCAAACAGCTTCCATTTTTGTGGCTGCAATCAGTCAGCAGGGCTGATTGCTCAGCAGGCCCAACTTACAGCACAACGCTCGTATCTCACGTTTGGTTTGGAGTTCAGCAACGGAGGGAAATGCTCTGAGCAGCAAAAGGGAGGAAAAAATATATGAGAAAAAAAAAAATGTGGAAACGTCTGTTTCAGAAAATAGTACTTGGCTTTTGAGAATAAAAAGCTTACCAGTCAGAAATTTTCCAGTGTTCCCATAAAAAATGAAAGCCATAAAAAAGGATTTTCAATTCCAAAACATACATCTTTTCAACTGAAAAGCTCTCAAATGTAAATAGTTTTGTTCAGCCATGATGTTCTGGCTTCGAGTTACTGATGGAGCATGGATGGTTTTAGAAAATAGCAGATACATTCCACAGAAATTTGTATTTCATTAATTTTTTTTATTATTATTATTTTTGTTTTAAATGAAAGAAAAGTTTTGGACAAAAAGTTTCAACCCCAGCTGTAGTTACGAGCTCTGAACATGTCCAGGAGTGACTTAACCTCTGAATGACATCTGTCTTCTGCCTTCAATGTGCTCAGCTCTTCCCTGGAGATGACACAAAAGCTCCACTAATGCTTGCTAATACCACGCTCACAGCCTGTGGTTTTACAAGCACCTGTAACAGAAAAATAAGCTTCAAAAAGAAGAAAACGAGCAGTCCCAGATACCTGAATGTGTTATTTGTGAAAGGAAACCTCCAGAAGTTGGCTAATTCTAGAACCTACATTTTGATAATTTGGCTGCAAGACCTGGAGAACAAGACTGAAAATGCCCCCAGAAGCCAGGTCCTCAAGAAATATTCCATACTTCTTTCTCTCTGGCATGTAGGAAAGCCACAAGAAAAGTCTTTCCTCAGGTTCTACGAAATCTCAGCTCCTAACTGGACTGGAGAAGAGCGGAAGCAAGTGGAAATGAAAATCTGGAGGGACGTTCATAAGGCTGAAGTTTTTGTCTGCATTTGGATTAAAGATGGAGAGAAAGGCAAATTCATGGGATAAAGGAGATGGGAGGGAAAGAGGCAGCTTGCATTTCAGCAGGAAGCTTCAACAATCTTGAATTCTGTCAGGGCTTAAAAGGGTGGAATTAGATCACACACCATCCCACCAGCAGCAGAGACAGTCTGAACTGGAAAAAGCTCAAACTACCTACACTGAGAGTTAAATGAAGAATGAGGCCCAGCTGAGCAATCAAACCCACACCCAGCACCAAACACGCTCTCGTCCACCTACCTTCAAACTGAACAATACTTGCTCTGAACGGGATAAAAATCCCCTGGAGCCACTAAAGGCATGTACATGACACATAAAAGGAGCCTGACTCATCTAACCTGCCTTCCTGGACAGCAGGAATTTGGGTGCCCAACACCCACATGGTGTTTTTCTTCTCCCTTATGCTGATGGGTACCATGCTGCTCCCTACTCTCACAGGGTCTCCAATCTCAGCTCTTTTCATATCCCCATCCAAAACAGCCTCATCAAGATCAAGAGGATTGCAAGCCCTCGTGCATGGCTCACCAGCAGCACGTTGGAGTTTGGCTGAGCAAGAAGGTAAAGTGAACCACGAGCCGAACATGCAACAAGTATTTTGATTTAAAGAGTTGTGCTGTGGTGAGAATGCACGTGCAGGTTGGAAGGAAGCAGCCTGGAAGGGGGGTTTCCTTCCTCAGCTCCTGCCATCTGGCAAAAGCTGTGGAAGTCATCTGACGCCACATGGAGCGGTTGGGGAGGACCCCATGGCACAGGGAACAGCCAGGGCTTTGTGTGGATCCACGTGTTTTCCTCCTCAGCCAAAGTGTGAATTCACCAAAGGAACCTCACAGAATTCAGTGTCTTGTTCATGGGCAGCCAGTGGTGAGGAGGAGAACACGGACAGGGTTAGGGAATGGATCACCTCCCAAGGATGCCTGTTTCAGTGACTGACCACCCAAAAGGTAAAGAACTTTTTCCCAGTGCCCAGCCTGAACCTCTCCTGGCACAGCACTGCACACAGTTCCTCTGCCTGCAGTCCAGCTCACAGGTAACGTGCACTGAACTGCATCTGAGGTTCTCTTAAAGCAATCACCAGGAGACTGGACAACGGATGCAATTGTATCCCAGTAAGTGTGAGAGCACCTGGACCAGTTTGAGTCCAGCTGTACACAGCAAAGAGTCTTGACAGCAACCACAGGATGGATTTAAATTGATGTGGTTAGCTCAGCACTGCCCTTCTTTGTAAGTGAATGTGACATTTTCCAACAAGTCCAACCCTTATTGCAGTTTCACACTGCAATAAGACATACAGAGAAAATACCCTCAGGCCCCAGTACTGCAGGTATGATTCCCTAGTATCATCAGTTTGGAGCAGCAAACCAGTGAGGCTCTTTTTATTCCCATTTTTCTATGCTCCATTTTCAAAGTCCACGGGAATGAACCACACAAGAGCATTCAAAATAAGGCATGCACACACCAAATTTGTTGGCTGTTGCAGCTCCTTAAAATATATTCCCCAGAAACTGCCAATGAACTAAGAACTATTGGGAGCAACCTGCTGTGCACAAAGCAACCTGGAGCTGGATGAAAACATCTGTTGGGGTCTTGTCCTGACTCCACGTCCCACAGTTTCAACATACCAGGTGCTGTCTTCCCCATGTTAACTCAACAAAAGCAGCAGCTCTTACCTGGAAGATCTGCATGGTGTGGCAGGACACCAGAGCCTGGATCCCAAGAATAAAGATGGCTGCAATGGATCTAAATGCCCACTGAGCATTCAGGAGTGTTTGCAATCTGAACAAAGTGTACTTTTCAGGACAGATGTCTCTTGCTAGCTGAACATACACTAAACACAACGGGTTCCACCTCCTGCTTAGATACATTACACGTGTGATGCCATAGCAGAATTTGCTACCAGCATCATTCAGACTTTCCCATCCTCAGATGTCATTGCTTGCTCTATGTTTTCAGCCTTTCCTGGGACAAGAGGTGGCAGCAGGTCAATGCCTCTCCTTCGCTGCTGACCTCCCCATCCACTGTGAACACAAAACCTCACCTCCTCCCATCTCCAACCTCACACTCTGCAACCCGAGCCCTTTCTGCAGCCCAGCAGCTCAGCCTTTGCTGCTCTCAGTAGGAACCACACTGGCTCCATTAATCATCTTTCCCCTGCCTGACACCCAGGCATCCCACCTCACATGCTGCTGCTGGCATCCTCACTTCTGCACCATGCACATCCAACACCGTTTGTTCAGCCTCACCATTTATAAGCCACAACACGCTGGGCTGCACAGTATCTCTTTTCCTATTCAGATACAGTTCTAACAACAATCTGGATGAGATCATATAGAGAGGAAATGACACTTTCTGCCTGTTCTGAGGACCAAATGGCAGCATTATGCTGTGAAGTGCCACAGACATTTAATAAAGCCATTATTTGTAGAAAGCCATATTTGTAGCCATTCCCTCTATTCCCAAAGCAAAACAAGAGAAGGGGGTTTTCTCCTGATGTCTGCAATACAATGAGGATGAGGTTGTGGCAAGGCAGGAGTCAGTCACTTCTCCCATGTAACAGCGACAGGATGAGAGGAAATGGCCTCAAGATGCACCAGGGGAGGTTTCATTTGGATTAGGAAAAACTTCTCCAGGAGAGTGGTGATGCATTTGGCACAGGCTGCCCAGGGAGGTGAGGGAGTCACTGTCCCTGGAGCTGTTCAAGAACCATGAAGATGTGGGATTTAGGGACATGTAGGACTTAGGAACATGTATTATTGGCCAATATTGGCAGCAGACGTATGGCATATGAGATGATCTTAGAGGTCTTTTCCAAGCTTAATGATTTTAGGATTCTATGAATGAGGTAGAAGTATCTTCTCATAAAATGAACCGCTGGCAAAGTCCAGGTACAGACCAACTGATTGGTTCCTATCAGCCATGCATTGCTCACTCCCCTCCTAGCAAGCACAGCAGACACAACCAACTTCTCTACAGCTGGAAACATAAATTCAGCTTCCATGATACCCAGCATTTGGGAACAGTGCTGCTAAGCTCCCCTGCCTCTTTCACAGCCGTGCACAACTGGGACAGACAGAACACCAAGCCCAAAGCCCAACAGAAAAGGCAGTCCTCACTGGAGGGAAATTTCAACTTTTCAGCCAAAAAAGTGCAAACGGTGTCCCAGAGTGCTTTGAACTTAATGAGGCATGTTATTTTTAACTTTTATAGATGAATATGTCATTAAAAGCAAACATATTTCTAGGAGGGGGAAAAAAAAAAAGCTGAATTCCCTGCAGTTTGGAGTCCTTCGAGACCACCTCTACTTTCAACATGAGACAATAGGTTATAAAAAGAAGACAAACACACTGGGCATCTTCTTCCTTTCCACACAGGGCATCACAGCATTGCTTCCAAATAGATAACAATATCGTTTCCTCTCATTTAAAACATTATTTGGTACTCCTGTGTAACCAACAGCCAGGTCTCCCCTTGCCAGCACGGCCATCTGAAGGCAGCACATGGGAACCCAGCCCAGGGCAGATGGCTCCATACCCAGTCAGGCACAATAACCATCAGTCAAAATCCATAATTGTAGACTGAACTGAATTGAAAGCTCTGTGCAGGCAAGGAATTTAGTTCATTTTGGGGTTTGTTTTATTTGTCCTAAGGGCTACTGGCGCAGATGAGAAGTGGGAGGGGAGCTTGAAATCAATCTTGCTAGAACGGCTTCATCCCAGCAAAAACATCCACGCGCAAAGTAGCTTGCAGCAAACGATCATCTGGTGGCTGGTTTTGAGTTATAGCAGCACAAAGTTGGGCTCTGACTCCATCTCTGGGCATTCAAGCACTCTGCACCAGAAGCACTTGCAATCCAAAGATGCAGTTTTCAGTGCCAACAGAAATCAGGTTTCCTTCATACAGGATCTAAAGGTGGATTTAGGAACCGTTTTGGAACCACACTGAGAGCAGTTTTGCTCAAATCCTCCGTCCATCTGCTAATCTTCCACCTCCCTCCAGGAAGCACGTGTCGATGGGACGATGTAATGGCTTTATCCACACAGATCTCACTGCTCCTCGCTCTCCCCAGGCTCTCACACTGGTAAGTGTGGCTCCTCAGAACTCACAATGTGAGGAATGCTGAATTTTCTCCAGGAAAAACAAACTCATCTCCCAGGTCAGGGAAATGTGACTCAGCTGTAACATTAGCAAAGCCTCTTTTGGACAGAGGTGAAGAAGGCGGACATAATCACCATTCTTCCCTTGGTCTAATCTGCTGTGGCTCTGGTGCAGATCCCAGAATCCATCCCAGCAGCACCATTACAGCATCTCCAAAGAGGCATAGGAAGGCTGAAGGCTCCAGCTCTGCTCCACTTAGAGGCAAACGCCCATTCCTAAGCTCTACAGCTCCCAAAGCTGCCAGATATTGCTTCCCTTCAATAGCACTGGGGACATAGGGGTATCTTTCAGGACTTGATTTACTGAAGGATTACCAAACATCAGTAGGAAGCTTTCAAGCCAAGCACACATTGCATTCCCAGATGTTCTGCAGGGAACAGCATGATCTACTCTGTTTGCACCCCTTTCCTAACCTAAGAGCAATCTGCAGCCACATCAGTGCCATCACCCTGGCAACAGGAGGATGCAACAGGAGCCAGAGCACAGCTGGGAAAAGAGCAAAAGACCTGGGCAAAAGAGTAGCAGATGTTTGGCAGCATCCCCTACCTGCACACTGGGCAGCGAGGACCATCCTGCAGCAAGGAGCCCTCCTCAGGACTCTTGGTCATCCTGCAACCAATAAACAGAACAAGATCTGCAGTTTGTGGTCAGACTGGAATCCACCATGGGAAAAATGGGAGGGAGCAGCAATCCCAGAACTGATTGTGACAGAGAGCAGTTGTGCTTGTGTGTTCCCAGGGAGCACGAAGGATTCGGGATGCCTTTGCCTTTCTTCTGAAAAAGACACACAATGAAAGCTTACTCCATGGTAGCACAGTGTCTTGGTTTCAGCTGAGACATATACAATTTCTGACATGGGTGAGCTCCAAACCAGCTCTTTAACACTGCTGGCTTTAAATCTCTACCTCTCTGGAGTAAGTCCTGATGGATTTATTCGAAGCACCAGGCTGGGTTCCCAAACGGTGCCAACCAGATTGGAGGCCAGTGGAGCCCTGCCAATCTATACTAACTTTGTATTTACAAGTATTTACATCTACTTTCAATGGGTAGAATTTAGAGATTTGGAGAGGTCAAAGTGTTTAATGCACACTAAATCTCTCCAGATTATAAAAAGCAGCACTAAATCAGCAGGGTGAATAAAGGGGTAACGGGCTGACATTTCACAGGCCTCGGCTTTTGGATATGGGCCACAGCCAGGACAAAACCCACAGGCAAGCCTAACTCCAGGAAACCATGCAGTGAGGTGATATCTACTTCAGTATTTAAGTCCTGAGGTGAGTAAGGAGGCTGTCAGCTCAGGAAGTTTCACGCCTCTTGGTTAGGTGGGCAGCCATGAATCACAGAACAGCCTGAGTTGAAAAGGACCACAGTGCTCATCCAGTTCCAACCCCCTGCTATGTGCAGGTCACCAACCAGCAGCCCAGGCTGCCCAGAGCCACATCCAGCCTGGCCTTGAATGCCTGCAGGGATGGGCATCCACAACCTCCTTGGGCAACCCGTTCCAGTGCCTCACCACCCTCTGGGTGTGAAAAACCCCCTTCCTTCAACGTTGTGCCACTCTGTGCAGGTAACTCACAAATCCTGTCTCTGAGCATCCCCATGCACACCAAGCTTCACTCCAGGCAGAAAGGAAATCAGCGTGCTTTTCCTGAAACTGACAAAAAAAAATCATTGGAAGGGTGGCACTGCTTTTAAAAAGGGGTCAACAGCAGGTCGTCGATACGAGAAAATAGGTCATGGCATCTTAATTGGAAAATCATGAATCTGGGGCCGTCCTCATGACCATAACACAGCAAAGACCTTTGTTCCAAGCGCTAGGCAAAGCCAGTCCTGTTGGACAAAATAATTTTTCAGGCAAATTCTCATTGAATAAATCTTTTACACTGAAGGGAACATTTTTCGGTACTCTGTTTTTTAACACCATTAACTTTAACTGTCAAGCCTGACAAGTATGGAAAAGTGTTTTCTTACAAAAGTTAATAGAAAAAAACTAAAAGGAGTTTTTTTCTCACTACAAATGAACTCCCCGTTTTGCCATTTAGCTCTAATTGCTTTTTTTTTTCTGTCCCAAATTTTTTTTCCCCTCCAAGATCTGGACTTTAAGGAGTCTGAGTAGACAGGCTTTAATGCTTGTTTATAGAAGTTCTGTACCATGGGTATATTGTAATGAACTCATTATATTTAAGAGAAGGATCTGTGAACAACCATGACCTGTTAATCCCATTCACTCACACACTCCTGGTTTTTCCCCTACTGTTTCTAAGTGTCTACATGAGTCCTTCAACACATTCAGGAGCCTAGAAATACATTGGGACTTGCAGGTCCAAATCAAGACCTAAATTAACAGCCACATAGAGGTGGGACACAGCACACATCTGAGCAGGGCTGCATCCCTCCTGGCTTTACCTTCTGAGCAGTGCACCTGGGTTCAGGTGTCCCCTTCGTTGGTAGAGAGCATCCCCATCTCCAGATAGCACTGTGAGTGGACAGGGGACAAATCCATTTATATAATAAATGAAAAATCTCCGCGTATAATAAACATATAAACTCCCCATATAATAAATAAATAATCCAGCTTAGCTGTGCAGGCAGATGTGCTGCGGGAGCCCCCAGCCGCTGCAACCAGCTGGACTGCAAAAGGATAAAGCCTCAAGTGGTTTAAAATCACGTAACTCGATTTGGAAACATCCACACTGGTGGGATTTGTGTCAGTTTACCTCCATAAGTCCCCAAACTGAGTTAAGCGGCTTCCCAAACCATTGGGGAACACTTCTGTAGGGCTCCCAGGAGAGGCAGCCACCAGCATGCAGCTGTGTTTGCACTTCTCATTTCCAAGCAGGTGAAGGAACCAATACGAAGCTAAGTGAATTAATCTGGATCTAGAACGCTTTAATAAATAACAAGGCCTGCAAAACACTCAGTCCCTGTTTCACTGTTTCTTTCAGAAGCCATCACCCAAGCTGGTAAGAAATGGTTAAAGCTTCTAAGGCACTTCTGGATCAGCCTGGTTTTGTGGGACAGCCTCTGGTGTTGGTTTGAGCTCCTGGTGTCAGGGCCTGTTGGATGAATCCATTACAGATCGCTGTGATTTCCACTTCTGATCTCCAGGATAACCCAAAGCTTAAGACTTACCAGAAACAATTCCTCCTAAAAGGAGAGTGGATATTTTTAGGAAAAGAAAAACATGTAAAAATTTCCAGCAAAATGGAAAGCTTCGTGTTTCTTGGTGCGCTGTTAAGTGGCCCTGCTGCTCCCACTGCTGAAAACATGTTTTATTTCTAGTCTGAACGTCCCTACCTTCAGCATCCCTCTGCTGGATCCTATTACGTTTGTGTGCTGAGCTGAAGTCCGCCTGCATGTTTCCATGCGTCCCTCCAGCAGTGTTCAACCCTCACTGCCACCTTCCCTCATCAGACAACCCGAACCTTCCGCCTCCAGAGGAAGACGTGCTTTCCCGTAACTCAATAATCCCTAAAACCCTTCTCTCAGTTCTCTCCAATTTATCAACATCTCCCTCAAACTACCAAAGTCCCAATTGGAAACTGCAGGAGGAGCACCTTCCTCCTTGTCTCCAATATTCCTCCTTTCGTGTGGCCAAAGAAAACATTTCTCTCTTTTTTTTGCCACTCTCCCATGCAGGGCTGCTCCTTGGCTGAGGGTTCTCACAAATCTCGAGTCATTGATCCCCCAGATATGGCCCAGCTCTACATGGGCTCTATGAGAACACGCTGCCTGTTTTCATCCAGGTTACTAATGGAATGTAAATCACTCTGCACTGGTGATCTGTCCTTTAATTTATTTATCTCTTCTTCATATTTTGACCTCACCTCAAAGACGGATCAGCGATAACTCCTGGGCTCAATTAGAAACATGTCTGCCCACTGATGAATTCCCATTTAAAATCAGAGATGACAGCAGTTTTTTACCCATTCCAGAAGTGCCTAATTGGTTTTCTATCATTTGTGTTTTACATAAAAAGTTACTTGGAGCCAAGACAACACTTTCACAGGAGCTCAGAGTAATGTGGGCTGCAATGAGGTCACCCAGCTGCTCAAAGCAGGCTCAGCCCCAGGCTGGTCCACCAAACCCATGGCTCATGGAAGCCAATGACCTCACTATTATTACATTTATCAACACAACTTGTAATCTTCCTGGAAAAAAAAAAAAATCTAATTAGACAAGCACCATATTCTATAAGCCCATGTTGACTGACACTACTTACATTAATCCCTCTAATTCTTTACTAATTACATGTACTATCAGCAATTCCATTATTTTGTCTAGGATTAATGTCAGGCAGAAAAATCTGTAGTTATTTGTGCCACTTTGTTTATCCCTTAAAAAATAATAGCACTAAAGTAAACTTCTTCCACACAGGCGTAACCTGCTGGTATTCATTATCTCTAATTAAGAGCTACTACATAATATTCTTTCTGTATAAAGGGTCCTTTCTTGTTATAAGACGTACTCACACAATCTCGCCTCTTCTCCTAAGAAGCAGAAATATTTGTTGAACTCTTCAGAATGCTGTACAATATTACCAGCACGACCATTTTCATGTAGCACTGATCTATTGTAAACTTAATTATATCATTCAAGAAAGAGAACTGCATTTCTATGGGGATTTCATTTTGAAAGCCATATGTTGGAGCCTTGTACTGCAAATACTAAAAATGTGCTCGGAATTCCTAAAATTACACTTGAAAATATCCAGACACAGAAACAATCGCATCTAACATAGAAGAAATTCTATATTGGGCCTCATTTTTACAGATCAAGGGGAACTGATGACAGGATGTAAAAATATAGTAGCAGCTTAGGTACAAGGGACTGATTTGATTACATTTGTTATGTGCAAATAGAATAAAACCCAAACGAGTAATGTATCTACTTGATGATTTAAAGCGCCAGCTTAACAAAGCTGAAAATAATTACAAAGCAAAACAATTGGGGGAAAGAATTTGAGCAGGAATTTGTGAATGATAATTGGGAACTGCTCAAGACCATTTGCTGGCTTGCAGAAGAGCCACAATCCTGCAGGCTGCAGCTGAAGGCAGCCACGTGTGCAGGGCAAGAGAAAGCCAAGGCAGATAGATGGGAAGCTCTTCCCTGTGGAAGACATGAAATGTGAATGGCAGTGAGTATAAAACAGCAGCAAGGAATGGTACCAGAGTGGTAAGGGGTGTCATATATGGATTGAAGGAGAATAAATACACAGGGGACAAGATGATTGATGGGTTCGTGGTTGGACGAAATGATCTCGGTGGCCTTTCCCACCTTAATGATTTTATGACTCTATGGAAATGGAAAAGGAAGGTTCTTCATCTCCATGCAGGTCAAAGACTGAGATCCATAAGCAGAAAACACGTTGCAATGGACAACGCCACCAGGACCTGTGCTGGAACCATCCCTGAGTTTGCACTCAAACCAAAACACCTGGAGGTCAAACCTCCATATGTGCATCCAGTGCATCCCCAGCACCGTGCCCATAGGGTCTGGAGGAAAGGTTTTGGGGTGGCTGCTCCACGGCCCCATCAGTGCAGGCAGTGCCTCAACCAAACCTAAAGGCTCATCCAACAGGTCTAGCATCCAAAAAAAAAAAAAAAAAAGAGTATCTCTGCATGCAGCAGTAGATGGGGCACAGGCTGATTGCACAGTCAGGCTCAGCCAGAGAGGTCAAGCCTCCTTGTACATTGTCCCTCCAACCCACAATTTACAGAATGCTCCACTCTAATAGGGTGAAACAGAGAGACAAACAGCCCTCTGCAGAGGCACAGACGCAGCATTTGCACCTTATGGAGGAGCAGCTCCTCTGGTCAGGACTGCTCTGCAGAGCAGAGCTTTGCAGGGAAGGTCCTTAAGGGTTAATGCCCTCCCCATCTCCTCCTCCTCTTCTTCTCCCTCCTCCCCACTCCAGCAAAGGATCCTTGACAAAGAATCTGCATTCAATATGCACCAAGAGAGGCTCTGGTCTGGGCTTTTTAATAAAGAGCAATTCCTTTGCATTCTCAGGTGTCCCTTAAAATCAAGCCCTGATATTTCTACTGCGTTATTACCACGGTCTGTAGATGTCTTCAGACTCAGAAAAGCCATTTGCTCTGCAGGTATGCTTTGCCCCTGCGGTGCTGAACAGTTCCTCTCTGTTAAGAAAAGCCCCTCTAGAGGAACTGGTACTTGGAGCCAATTAATGGACCTCTCCCACCTCCTCTCTTGCCAGTTTTTCTTGGCAACAGCATCCAGTCCCCACAGCTGAGACACCGGTCCCTACAGCCATTAAGCAGCAAAATCAGGGAAACAGCACGTGTGACCTCAGCAAGGAGGAGATGCTGTACTTTTTTCTAACCTTCTTAATGATGCACTTCGTGTTTCAGCCTTTGTGACACTGCTAATTAAGTCTGGAGAGCGTAGGGGCCACATGGCACAGATAAATTTACCTCTAAGGATGTGGAAAGCCCCGTGATTACAAACAGGGGAGAAAGGCGTTCCTGGAACCAGGAGGACATGGAGAGGAGCACCTCCACCACTGGGGAAGCTGCAGAGAGCCCCACAATGGGGCTCAGCCCTGAGCTCTGGGCTGAGGAAGGGTCACTCTGTGCTGCCTGACCTTCAGGCTCTGCCCCATCTCCACTACAATGCCCATAGACAGCCCCAGGTTGAGAAGTGAGGATTGCATTCAACTCCCCAAATTACTACATAGAAAACTCACTCCATTCTGGGAGCAGAACGAAGATTGGGTCCAGATTAAGTTTAAATGCAAAATTTGGAAACAAGAGATCACGTTTGCATTCAGATTCACAGATTCTTATCTCTTCAGATGTAATGCTCTGACCTCCTGCATAGCTCAGTTCACACAACTGCAATCGGAACAGTCTGTTTCAAGGCCTTTAACTTCTGTTTGAGCTACAGGGTATTCCAAGGAGGACACGCATTCTTGATTTGAAGTGATCAAACCATGGAGAATCCATCGCATACCCCAGTAAACTGTTCCAGAGGTTAATTACTCTCACTGTTAAAAATTTGTACCTTATTTCCAATTTGAATTTTTCTGGCTTCAGTTTCCAGCCATTGGATCTTGTCATGCCTTTGAGTGCTCAATTAAAGCTAAAGCATCAGATTCCATTTCCATCTGTCAGTGCTTAAGCACAGAAAGCTCAGTAGCTGCTTCTCATGAGGTTTCCAACAGGATCTGAATGACCAACAGTAACGTTTCTGTCTGCTTTCAGGCCTGACTTAGAAACCAAGCCAAAAGGGTGAATAATTTTTAGTAATTAGCGATTCTTTAAAAAAACTGAGCAAGAAAGAGATCTGGATGGAAAAATTCTAACAAGTCTGGTTCTTTCATTGGGAACCTTCTGAGCATCAAAGCACGGCAGTGAATTCCTTGCACCATGCTATGCAGGTTGGGTTGCAACCCAAACAAGCACTCCACTGGAATGGATGTGCTGCTCCCTAAACCACTATGGAAACAAACTTCTTCGCTCACGTTGG